CGTCCAGTGGGGGCCGTACGCCTTGCTCTTCTTCCTGGCCAGCTTGAGGCTGATAGTCTGCAGCTCTTCCTCCGCCTTGTCCACCACCCCGTCTGCCTCGCTCTCGTCGACCCTCAATGTGATGTCGTCCATGAAGGCTTGTATGAGGGAGCGTGGAAAGCTGGCTTGGATGGCCTTGAGTACTGGCTGGAGGGCCAGACAGAAGAGGAAGGGGCCGGTCGGGTCTCCTTGCTGAGTGCCTTGCTGGCTCAGGATGGTCCTCACTCTGCCGTCTGCGAGTCGATACCACAGCTCCGCCGGCTCTCCATAGAACTGCCAGAGAAAGTGAAAGAGCTCGGGGAACTGGCTGGCGAGCTCGCTGACGATCGCCTGACGGTCCACCCTGTTGAAGGCGTTCGTGCAATCCAGCGTTATGAGCGGTCGCTTTTCGCCCTCCCTCCGGCTCTGGATGAATGTCTCGGCGGCCTTGAAGAGCTTCTCGTTGCCCGCTGGGGTGCCGACTGCGCACTGGAGAGGGGCGAAGTAGGCGGCCACCTTGTTTTTGTGCTGCGTGCACACTGCTCTCGTCACCCATCGCCGCACTGCATCCCCCACCGCCACCGGCCGCACCTTGTCGTGCCCTTTCGTTAGTGCCATCAGGTTCGCGGTGCCGAGCAGCTTGGTGACAAGCTGTGGGAGCTTCGCGCTCAGCAGCCGTCTGATGATCTTGGGGAAGGGGATGCGCTCCTCTCCCTGCCGGAGCCCATGCTTCGACAAGTTGAGGTAGCCCAGCAGATGCTCGAACCGCCAGCCGGACGGCCCTGGTGCTGCGCCTTTTGCTGCTGAGCGGAGTGCCTTCGCGAGCATCTCGGGTGGGACGTCGAGTGCCTCGGGCTCCACGTTGACGTTCGGCTTGGTGACGGGCGTGTTGCGTGAGGGGTGGAGGGCTTGCAGCTTGGCGTATGTCTCCTCCGTGGCTGGGGCGACTGGGGTGGAGTCCAGCTTCTTGGCCGCTCATGTGAATTCCCCAAGCTCCACTAGCCGCTTGGCTGTCATGAAGGCCCTCTGCGTTGCCGTGTCGTGGGTGGGGTGGGCGGGTGTGGGGTGGATGGCCGGTGTCGTCTCGGTGCTCTTTGGTGCGAAATCGGCCCCCTCGCGTAGCAGCAGCTCCCATTCCCCCTCCCAAAACAGCCGAAATCTTCGCTCCCACTTTCTCCTCCCTCCCGCCCCTCCTCTCTTGGTTGGGAACAGCAGCAACGAAGGGATGTACAGAAACAGGAGGAACCCGTCGTCCAGCTGGTTGGTGTCGCCGTCGGGGCTGACCAGCGCGTCTGCCGCCTCCATCACGTCAGCCATGTCGATCCTTGCCTGTAGGGGGATCCTTGCCTCCGTCGGGATGCCCATGCGCCAGGCCGCCGAGTGCTGCTCCTCTGTGCGGTTCCTCAGGAGCGCCAGCCCTCTCTCCGGGATCGTCTTGGTCGGCCCACGCGTTGCCAGATCTGCCCGTCTGCGGGATCTTTGAGCTCGCAACCGCAAAACTCTGGAAGACTACCGTATCGGTCCGCCCGGACCACCGCAGAGCCGGCAGTATGATGATAAGTTGAATCCCAGGTGACCTCCCCGTCTGTCAAAACGCGGCCCTCCCCGCACCGTCATGTTCTACACGCCGGACGTCACGCCGGACACGCAGAAGGCCTCCCCAGACTATGAAGATGCACCGGCATTCTTCTCTGCACCAAACACACCACCAGGCGGGCAGCCGGCCAGCCTCTCGGCCAAGGCATCCTGGCTTCCCACCATCACGGCCGGTGTTGGGTTTCTGACGGATGCGTATGACCTGTTCGTCATCGATATCGTCCTGCTGGTGCTGGCCAGCATCGACGCCAGCCAGAGCGCCGCGGACAGGGGCCTCGTTGCGTCGGCCATGAGTGAGATCCGATCCACACAGACAGACAAGGCGTTTTCTCCCTCTCTCTGTGGGAATGTTCTATGTCAGTTGTGGGGACACTCATCGGGCAGACCACCTTCGGCCTGCTGGCCGACATCCTTGGCCGGCACAACCTCTTCCGCACCACCCCCATCCTGCTGGCAGGCGGGGCCCTGCTGTCTGCCTGCGTCACATGGGCGGGGCCCGTGTCGCTGTACACGAAGCTGGCGGCGTGTCGGCTGCTGCTGGGTGTAGGCGTGGGAGGGGAATACCCTTTGGCTGCCACTGTCACGTCAGGTAAAGTACCGACGGGAGGGGGGAGGGAGGGCACACGGCTTATGTTGGTGTGTGGGTGTGGGGTTCAGAGACGTCCGATACCGCTCACCGTGGGCGGGCTCTCGCGGCGGTGTTCGCCATGCAGGGCGTGGGCATGGCGCTGTCGCCCCTGCTGGTGCTGGTCCTCCTCTCCCTCCCCCCGCCCCTCTCCCTCCCCCCCGATCTCATCTGGCGCATCGCTCTCGCCGTCGGGGCCCTCCCCGCCATAGCCATCATCTACTACCGATGGACGCTCCCAGAGACTGCCCTATTCAACAAGGCCCACGAGGACACCAAAACCAGCCCTTTTCGGCACCAGAGGCGGCTGTTCGTCCGATACCGGGGCGCGCTGCTCAGCACGTGTCTCAACTGGTTCCTTCTCGACGTGACCTTCTACGGAATGGGGAGCTTCAAGACGGCCGTCGGGGCCTCCCTGGGCTTCTCGCTCGGCGTGACGGGCGGCATCATGTCTGAGGCGTGGTTCGCTTTGATGGTGGCGGGCTTGGCGATGCCGGGGTACGTGCTGGCGGTGGTTTATGCCGAGAGGATTGGGTATCGGCGGCTGCAGCTATTCGGATTTGGGATGATGGGCCTGTGCTTCGTGCTGCTGGGCATCGAGCAGTACGCTGGCGGCCAGCGGCCGGCGATAGAGTTGGTGCGTGATTCGAGGGAATCCGTGGACAGGGAGAGAGTGTCATGCCATGTGGCCATTTGTTTTTTATCTAATTGCAGGTGTTGTTTGGACTGACGTTTTTGTTCTCTAACTTCGGACCCAACACGACCACCTTCCTGCTGCCCACACAGATATACCCGACGCTCATCAGGGCATCATGCCAGTAACCACACACAGAGATCTTACGACCAGGCAGACAACTAAAAACCCCCCTCTGCTGCCCCTGTCTTGTTCTGTTTTGTTTTGCTCTCTTCAGTGGCATTTCAGCGGCGAGCGGCAAGCTCGGTGCCGTCCTGGGCTCCGCCATGTTCGCCCCCCTGCAGCAGTCCATCGGCCTTCCCTCCCTTCTGCTGTGCTGCGCCGCCGTGGCCCTCCTCGGCCATCTCGCCACACTCACTCTCACACCCCTCTCTGCCAATCATCCCGAGCAGTTGTTCGACCACCTCGATGACGAGACCACGGCGCTCAACAACCACAACAATCGTGGCGGTGGAAAGGATCACCAGCACCGGCACCAGCAGAGGACGGCGGGAGGGGCAGATAGGAGCGGGGGGGATGGTGGGAAAAGGGGGGAGAGGGACGGGCAGCAGCAGCAGCAGGATGGGAGCGGGTCGAGCGCTGCGGGAGGGTCAACTGCGGGAGCGTCAACTGGTGAAACGTCCTCAGAGGCCACCGGTGCGCAAGCAGGTGTGCACAACAGAAAGGAACGAACGAACGAAAGGGCCACACGACACACATATTTGCTTTCCGGTCTCGTCTCCAGGCATTCACTCTGCCAGGGCCTCCGCTTTGCTCCCTTCCCGCCCCATGTGGAGCGGTCTGATCCCGCAGGGGTTCCTCAGCGCGCAGGTGACGCAGCAGAGTGCATATGGGTACACCCCATACGGATACCCGCAGCAGAAACCCAAGCAGCAGGAGCCGGCGGGGAGCAGCTGGTCTGCACGTATGCGATGGGGAAAGTGATTGATGGCCACACAGAGGGGGGAGATCTGATTGTGTGTGCGTGTGTCCGTTGGTCAGGTGGTGGCTCGTCGACGAATACCACGCTGCCGTCTCAGCCAGGGTTGGGGCTGTCGGGCCCTCAAGTGAGCGACCATGCGTTTCCTGTAGTCAAATTCCTGCAGCTGAGCTCCCTGGCCTTCAGGGGCGCCATCACGGTGACACCCCCCTGCACATGGCAATGAATGTGTGGATGCACGTGTGCGCGCGTGTCTCTCTCTCTGTGTGCTGTTTAGTATGAGGAGGAGCATCAGATGCACAGCAGCGACCCGCTCGTCAAATACCAGATCGTGCACAGGTGGGCAGACAAGCTGCTGGACCGTCAACTCCCCCCCGCCCCCCTGTGTGTGTCTTATTGGTCAGTTGGCGTCACAATCTGGGCCCTGAGGACGGCAGGCGGGCTGTAGTTGGATGGAAGGTTCTCTGCACGTACAGAAACAAGCACCAGGTACCTACCTAGGCCGCGGCATGCACCGGATGGACGCATTTGATCTCCCGACGTGTCTGTGGGCGGACACACACGTTCAGATGGTATCGTTTTTCTCTGACCGCGATCTGAAGGAGAAGGACCTACAGCGTGTGTTGAGGGACATCGAGAGCATCGCCATCGATATCATGCGGTGAACGACAACGCACACATACGTCATCGCTTCATGCCTTGATGCATTTTCAGGGGTTCGCTGATAGTGCAAAGCGCCGCTACTGAGTCGGAGGACAAATACAGGGCGGCCACACAGCACATCGTGGCGCAGATCGACCAGGGCAGGCTCCCATACACGGTAGAAGAACAACACCAGCCAGGCCACACAGCAAAGAAAAGGGCTGGGTGTGGTGTGGTGTGGTTTGATTGCGTCACGTCTATGCATCAGGCGCAGTACTTGTCGACGTTTATCTCCGGCGGCCTGCAGGGCGCCCTCGACCAGCTCAGTGGCCCAAACATCTATGGCCCCACAGCTGCCTTCGCCTCCTCTCTTCATAGCCACGTGAGGCTCAAAGAGCAGCCACGCGGTCATAAGATGTCTCTCTTCATCTTCATCTCTCTCTCTCTCTGTGTGTGTGTGTGTGTCATGCAGGCTGTGGCGGCGTCTCTGCTCCGTCCGTGTGCGAGCGGGTCGTCGACGGCCCACCCACAGGACAGCCGCTCCCTTGCGAGCAGCTCTAGTGGCTCGGCGGCCATGGCCATACTGTGAGACTCAGAGGGACAGTTTCGATACAGATGGTTAGATTGTTGGCTGGAGAGAGGGCGGAGTGGATATGGCGTTGCTTGCAACACAAACATCTTCATGTGTCACTCAATGCACATCACACATGAATGAATCAATGAATTGGGTCCATCTAGCTGTACACACAGCATTCCATTCCATTCCATTCGATCTACCACGGCAGAAATCACAGCACCATGCACTACCTAATCGCCGCATCATGCAGGCCCTCCCCCCTCCCTCCCTCTAGCCCTCCATCACTCGACACTGTCCTCTGACATCGTCTCCCAATCACTACCACGGGCATCGCTGTCAGCTGAGCCCACGTCCGTGTCGGTGTCACCTCCGTCCGCCGCCAGCAGAAACAGTAAACCTCTCGACTGGACCAACATCACACAGACAACATCCATCAGTCGCGACAACAGCCGTGCATTTGGAAAGACATATCACGCAGACACACCCGAATTCGTATGCCTCCGTCGGCATGGTGGGCCAGCTGCGAAATTCTCCTCTGTCCGTCAGCCTGCACACACAAGAGGCCGACAAGCAGATGTTTGTTTTCGGCTCTCTCTATCGCCTGTGTGTGGCTCACCTGTTGTATGAGATTGCGGTAGGGGTTCTGTGGGAGGCCGTCGCGCACCTGCACCTGGTGACCCACACTGCATAAAACAAAAAACCACCAACACACGGGGAGGATGCCTTATGTGATGGTATGGCTGTGTGCATCTTCGGTGTTGTGACAGAAAGGGTACTCTAGCAACTTGTTGATTGCCACGAGTGCCCCATTGAGTATGACGACCTGAGCGCCGTCCACGAGCAGATCACACAGCGGCCCGACGCAACCGCACCCAACCAAATACTCAACCTGAACAGCAATAACGACACGACAGCAGTGCAGGATGCTGTCAGGTGCTCTTGTGTACCTGCGCCTGCGATCCGCGTCCCACCCCGTGCATGACGGCCCACAGCGCCACTTGCTTGACGCTCGGCACATCAGTAGTGGCTATGAAGACCAGCTGCGGCACCATGCCTGAGTCGATGACCGCCTGCCGCTGATCACGCGTACCTAAGCAGACGAAGAGAGGCCATCGTCCCCAATGTGTCTGTTTGTGTGCGTCTTCCTGGCCTCAAACACTCACCTCCCATGATGTTGAAGATGGCAAAACAGGCCTCCTTGCGAATATCCTCGTTGGGTGACGACAGCGACGCCTTCAATGCAGCAATGGCGCCACACTCGATGACCACCTGTGTCTGCTCATGAGTGCCTGAGAGCCCACTCACAGACACACACCACCAAGGCAGCCATGGTTAAGTCGTTCTCATGTCTCTTCCCCAGCCCTCCGTGTATCTATGTACCCCTCGTGATGCCGCCGACAGTCCTCAGTGCATGCCTCTGGACCTTATGGCTGTCATGTCTCATCAGCTCCACCAATCGGCCGCACACACCACTGTCCACCACCGCTCCGATGCGCTCGTCGCCTCCCTCCTGTGTGAAGTATGACAGCATCCTGCACCACCCTCTGAGCACTTCGGTGTCCTGGTCAGGCGTCTTGATGAGCTCTGCCACCACCGGCACCGCTGGCGACACCAACTCGAAGGGCGGCTGGGGATTCTGGCTGAGGTTCGAGAGTGCCCAGGTGGCGGTGCGCAGCATCCACATATCCTTGCTGTCATGCAGCACCTTGAGCAGTGGCTCCATGACTCCCGCGGCCAACACCAAGTCGCGGGGAAACGGCCCATGGCCCGCAATGTTAGCCAGCGCCCACGCCGCTTCATACTGCAGGTGAGGGCGAGCCGGATCGGTGAGAACGGCCACCAGTGGCTGAATGACACCCGCGTCGATGATGCCCGGCATGGCGGGCCCCCATTGGATGCACATCAGCAAGCGAAGGGCCATGGCGGCGATGAGCTGGATGGATGGATCTCCTTTGCAGATGCCGCTCGATATGACGCCCAGCAGAGATGTCTTGCTGACTCCCAGCCGTCCCTTGTGTGTCTTGATGGCGATGGTGCAGATGGCGCAAGCCGCCTGGACACGCACATCGAGATGCGGGGACGAGAGCTGCTGCTGGAGTGCGGGCACGACACCAGCCTCAATGACGACGTCAGCCTCAGCCGCAGCCATGGCAGCCAGGCATTTGGCGGCCTCGATGGCCGTCGAACGCCAGCAGCTCTTGAGAAGTCTGACCAGCACCGCCGCGATCAGTGTGGCGTCGATGGCCGCTCGGCTCTCCTTCTTGCCTTTCGCCAGGATCAGTCGTCGGTGCAGCTCGCGGAGGGCATTGACCTTGCTGAGGGAAAAGGGGCTCGAAAGGCGCTTGATGAGTTGAGGAATGGTCAGCTGCTCGAGGTCCGGCCATATCATCAATGAAATGGCCGTCCAGACGGCACTCAAGAAGGCTGAAACGCCCCAAACGGTCGTCCATACGGCACCGAAAAAGGCTGAAACGCCCCACATCCTTATCGCCCCACTCCACAATGTTTACGAAAGTCGTAAATGCCTGGGGTGGGGCTCGCCGCTTTTCTCTGTGCGAGTACGCAAGTACTATTTGTTCATGTGCAGATAAACACTTTCCGTCCACAGATGTACTGTACACGAGAGAGTGAGCATGCACAGCAGCACAGAGGCAGACCGACGGAGCTCGACACACTCGGACAATGTGTGTGTCTTCGCGCCAAATGCCCCGCGACTGTACAGACCCGCACTTAGCCACCTTCGTACGCCCACAGGCCATACACACAGACACGCAGCTATCCACCCTACACAATCGCCCAGACCCACAAAGAATAATAAGACCCATTGGTCGGTCGCAGTAGCCACTTAGTGAGTCAGCCGATCAGTCAGCCACTCGCCCCTTAACCAACAAAAGTAGGCCCACGCCCATTCCTTGTCCACCGCTCCTCCCATGCACACACATATGACGAATTTGTTTCGTCATTCGTCACGCATATGCCCCCTCCCCACCCTCTTCGCCCCTCCCCTCTGTCCCATCGGCTTGCTTGTCTGCCTGCAGTGCTGCCATCGACCCAGCCGCTGTCTTGGTGCTCTGCTTCTGGTTTCGCAGCTCCACAGTGAAGTAGACGATAAGAGTGACGACCACCACCAGCAGCCCCCCGAACGATAACAGGCCCGGCACCTCACCAAACACGGCGAACACGAGCAGAGGGGCGAGGGGGATCTCCAGCAGCGTCAGCAGCGACACTTGTGCGGGCAACAGATACCTCGCTCCGGCGGAGAGGGCGGTGAATGCGAGGGGCTGGATGAGGATGCCGTGGACGGCGCACCAGAACACGCCACTCGGCCCGCCCTCCGCTGCTACTTTGGCAAAGTTGAGGCCGTCTGCGAAGACGTAGCCGCAGACCACCCCCAGTACGAGCGCAAACACGCCCGTCCACGTGTTGCAGTAGACGACGTCAAAGTGCTCCACCCTCCGGGCGGCCAGCTTCGAGTAGAAAAACATCGAGCCCCACACCACCGACATGATGAGCGCCAGGAAGATGCCGAACAGCCCCTTGCCCTCCCCGCCCTGCTGCTCCCCCAGACATATCATGGCCACTCCGGCCGCCGTGCCCAACATCGCCAGCCACAGCCGCAGAGTGGTCGGCTGCCGCAAAACCAGCCAGCTGCACAGAGCAGCGAACAGGGGCGAAGTCGCCAAAATGCCCATCACGTTGGCCGCAGTGGTCTCCATGATCGCCCATGGCAGGAGGTTCTGCGCCCAGCCCAGCAGAAAGGCCGCTATCAACCCTGTCGTCCCGATGGTCCGCCTGACGTTGCCGTCCCGCACCAGGATGGTCGTCAGCTTCTCGCAGGTTTTCCTGCTTTGGGCGATCTTCTGGCAGAGCAAACAGAGGGCTATCGAGGGCAGAAGGAAGAGCTGCCGGATGACGATGTAGGTCCACAGGTCGAGAGCGTTACCAGCCAGCCGAATCACGACGGGCGCCGGTGCCAGCGCGATGACGCCCACCATGACGATGTGCACGCCCTTGACGGGGTCAGACAGACCCTCCCACCACCTCGCCATGCCGTTACACCGCTCCCCGTCTGCCTCTGCCGCCACCTCTATCGACAGCTCGGTGAGGTCCTTTTTGCCTGGCGTGGGCATCTGCTCCTGGTCGGCATCTGGAGCTGCGGACAGACCGGGGGATGTGGTGGCGGCGGACAGCCCGGGGGACGTTGTCGTGGCGGTCGCAGATGCCACGTATGTCACCTCCGCAGAGTCTTCGCCCACCTGCAGGGCCGCCGCCATGACGAAAACCCCACCCCCTCGAGAAAGATGGACAACGGAAGGCCAACAGTCACCCCTGCCTTCCTCAAAGCCTGCAGAAAGGACTTCAAAACCTTTCGTTCCCGTTTTCGAACGGCTTGACCACTGGCCTTTTTCGGCCCACTACAAGCTCGCAGAAACTGGGGAATGGTTTATTCTATCTGTAGCTCCCCGTCTACTCACTGAAGCGCGATGAACGGGGTGACGTCAAGTGCGGCGGATATTCTCGATGACCAAGATGCATCGGGGAGCTCCATTGGCGCCCCGTCGTATCCTGTTGAGCCGATGGCAGTCTATACGGAGGAGGAGGTTCGGCGCCTCAGCGCCATGGCCAAGCAGACCAGCACCATGTGGAATCTCTACGTGAGCGCTAACACGCACGCCGCCCACGCACAGGCAGAGAGGTGAATCAGGGCGTTCTGTCTGCATCTGCCTGTTGTCTGCAGCCGGAGTTGTTTCCCGGCGTCAATCTGGAGGCGAGCGTGCCGATCCTCGTGGATAAGTACCACTACGGTAAGTCACTGAAGTATGGCCAGTCACAGCCAGCTGTGACGTGACTGTCCTGCTCGGCTCTCTCTGTGCTTTGCCTTCACAGGCGATTTCTGTTGGAGTCCTGTTATCTCTGCCCCTTGGATAGCCGAGCTGATGGATCACGGCTTCATCACCATGGCCGAGAGGCTCCGCATCCGCACCGCGCCCGCACGAAGACCCGCCCCCAAACTCTCCCCGTCAAGCAGCAGCAGCAGCGCCGCCGCCGCTGCTGCCAGCGGCAGCACACGGACCAACGAGAGTAGAGATGGCGACAGGGGTGGTCTCGGTGGCAGTGTTGTGCGAGATGTGTATCTGCTGCTGCCGAAGCTTCATCGGGAGAGGTGTGTGTTGATGCCTGACGGGCGGCACCTGCACGTGGGCAAGAAGGTCAAGAAGCGGAGCAAGATGTTCTGGGCGACCGTCGACCAAGCATTCGATCAGGTGGGTGGGGAGGGAGGGAGGGTGTGCCTTCTCGCCGATCGCAGGCAGCTGTGGCGTTTGGTGTTGTGTGTGGGTGCACAGGTGGTTGAGGGCTGTCACGAGCAGCACGGTGAGAGTCAGAGGCACGCACCTGCACACCAGCACTCTCCCTGCATCTCTGTTGTCCCTTCCTATGTTCCCTCAGGCTTCAACTGGCTCCACCCTCCTCTCGTCAGAGTCAGAACCACACAACGACACACACAGACATACACACACACATCGAGCATTGATTTCTTCCCTCCCCCTCTGCCCCTTTGCCATTCAGGAGTTCCGTCAGATGTTCTTCAACGGCGTGGGCCGCGACCGCGGCATCCACCTGCACTCTTTCGAAGTCTGGCAGAAGAAACCATCGCGCACACAGGACGGCGAGGAGGGGGAGAGAGAGGGGGCGGACACCTCCCTGCTGCTGGACGGCGACGCATCGTCGGGGGAGGTGACGATAGACGACATGCAGCTGGTGGCGGGGGAGCTGGGAGGTACGCCTGTGAGCTCGCTTCTTCTTTCGTCAGCCTGTGTGTGTATGGTTGTTGTGTGTTGTTGTCTGTCAGTTCGTGTGGGTGGTTGTTACACGAGCCTGACGGGGTTCTACCGTGGCGACTCGGCCGGCAGCATACAGCTGGCCGTCACGGGCAAACTGCTCGAACAAGAGGGTACTCACAAAGCCAACATCTCCCCCATCTGATTTGCATCTCTCTCTCTCTCTGTGTGTGTGTGTGTGTGTTGATGCGTCCGGCAAGGGTTTCTGTTGTGGGACTTGGGCATGTTCATTCAGTACAAGCAAGACATGGGCGCCATCGTAATTCCCAGAAGAGACTTCGTGCAGAGATTCAACGCTGCAAGAACCAAGGTACACGGTTTTCGGCCTGTGGCTCTCTGTGGCTGGCCGCTCTTCATCTGTGTGTGTGTGTGTGCAGCGTGAGTGTCGTTTGCTGATGCCCCGACCAGTCAACTGTGCCGACATCATCAAGAAGGAGCCCCCCGTCGCCCCAACCGACAACAATCCCACCTTTGCTGCTGCTCCTGATGGAGCTGCTGCTGCAGGTATGTGTATCCAAGCCAAGCCAGCCCAGAGCATTGACCATGCACACTGCCTCTCTCTTTGTGTCTTTGCCCACACAGCGTCAGCTTCAGCGTCAGCGTCTGCATCTGCATCTGCTCCCACGCCCATGGCCACCTCCCCGCCCCTCAACCCCACACAACCACACCCTCACCAGCACCAACAGCAACAGCAACAGCATGACAACACACAGCCGAGCAAGAAGGAGAAGAAGAAGAGCCAGCGGAAAAGAAGGCTCGAGCACAACAAGGCAAACACAAACACCGCCAGCAGCAAGGCAGACGACATGCAGCAAGGGGAGCATGTTGCTGCTGGTGGTGAGGAAGCGCAAGGGCGAGAGGGAGGGGGTGAGGGTGTGGGTGTGGGTGTGGTGAGGGTGGCAGAGCTGGTCGGTGATGACGATGACGGGTGGTAGAGGGTGTGTGGGTGGGGG